TGTCTCTGTCTGTCTCTGTCTGTCTCTGTCTGTCTCTGTCTGTCTGTCTCTGTCTGTCTGTCTGTCTGTGTCTGTCTGTCTGTCTGTCTGGACGGTGACAAGTTGCCAAGGGCGGGGCTGCACTGGGAGACGCTGCGACTGCCGGGGTTGGAAGAGCAAGTTGAGGAGCTGGAAGAGCAAGTTGAGGAGCAACTGCAGGGCGCTGAAAACCATTGTCCTCCACCCTGTCAAGCAAAGCTCCCAAACCTTTGCTTCGTGGCTGATTCAGCAAAAGCTTGCACTCTTCATGACTATTCTGTCTGCCCAAATGCTGCGCCATCATGCCCATGCACACCGCCTGGAAAGTAGACCAAAAACCATCAGGTGTTGGCATGGCAATCTTGCTACTGACCTTGTTGTTCGTAGATCTCAACGAGATCTCTCGAGCAATGTTGGCCATGTCCATCACATTGAAGGGCGCTTGGTTGGTTTCCAGGCCATTGGGAAACGCTTTCTCAATCACCTCAGGTGGAGCTTCCACTGGGTTCGCCGGCAAAGTGGTCAAGAACTTCCCGCCGGGTAAGGAAACATCGTCCTGCTTCGCTCTGAACACACTTGTGTGCACACGGGCTTTCACACTCAAATAGATTGACCTGAGTTTCATGGCGTCCGGGATCTGCTTTGTCTTGCTGGGGTCGTCCTGCGTATCACGCATGATGCACAGAGCTGACATCATAGCCTGTGTGTGTGTTCCGAAGGGCTCCTCATGCCCAGCAAGACAAGCTGCTTCAGCACCACATCCAACGCACTGAGGGAACTCGCAGATTGCAGGACAGCGGTCCATGAGGGCGAATCCTTCTGTCCCTCAGCAGCAGCCATAGCAACCGCTTGCACCGGCGAACTACGGGCGACCGGCAAACGACGGGCGCAAACGAACCGCGCAAACCTAAATCAAAGGAAACGGCGAAGAACTCATCACAATATCAGCGGACAACCGCCAATACTGAGCATAAGCAAACAAAGACAAGAAACGTGTAACAAACCATTCACCTACGGCGGGCAACCGCCACAACTGAGAATCAGCTAGCTAGCAGCACCGAGGAACATGGTAATCAGGAAGCTCTACACAACTTGCATTGAGGGGCCACAATGCTAAAGCTGAAAGCGAAAGGACATGCGAAACAGTTACATCTACTCAGTATATATCTCTGCAAAACGGGCATGCAGCGATGTGTACATACCCATGCGCATTGTCCGCTGATACAGTGTTTGGATCACAAAACTGTCAAACAAAACAGTTTACTAGTTAACTTTATTTTTAATTAAACATTGAAAAACAATTGAAAAAACAAAAACTCGACTTTGACAGTTTACAACAAAAACCTTTGAATTTTTTGTAAGTTCTGTAAGTTGTTTGTAAGTTCTGGGAGCGTGCCAAGCTAACTTAGTTACAAGTTCTATAAATATTTAGATGTTAGTTATAACTCACGATGGAACTATCATAAGTTAACCAAATTAAGTCATGTTATAACATAGGTTACACTAGCTTAAAACATATGTTAGGAAACTTATAACCTATGTTAACTTGAGGGGCACCTCATTGTATACATAATATATATAATACACTATATTATATGTTGCGTTACTCCGGTTTGCAGACCTCTCGAACCACGAATCGAGGACTCAAAAACTCAGACTCTGGCTGGCAAGAAACTCGCTTCGCGCACACCTTCACCACGCCACCGGCCTTTTTGACCACTATTCAGACGGTGAGGAATGAGAGAGGTTTGCCATCCAACTCACGGCCGTGGTTCACAGCTGCTTGGACAAGACAGATCGGCCCAATGGAACAAAATATCTTTGGAGGCTGGTGAATTCAGTGGATTCTTCGTTAGGCCAATCCGCTCCCAAGATCGGCTAAGTCACTCAGGTTGCTGCGGACGGTGTGAATGTGGATGGTGCTTTGGCCGAAGACTCAGACATCCTCAGACCATCACAGCTGTCTCGGTGGCATTGGCTTGACGGATCGATCGAGGTCGCCTTGGAGATGTCTGAGACGACCAGCTTCGGAAAGGCAGAGCCACAGCTGTTTGCGTAATTTTTGGTATAGAAAGGATTTGTGTCTTAGACGTGAAGGTGGGAAAATCGTTCCCTACATCACCCGAGAGTGGTCCCAATTCAGTCCTCCCACGCTGTGGCAGGTGAAGCGGCGCGAACAAGTGGGCTGGATCGCCATCGACCAAGGCATTCACAGTCTCTCAGGTTCCACAGGCTCGAGTGGATCATTGAATTTGAAGATGCGTACAGTATATACTGTAACAAGGGATCAGATGTTATATGGGCATCGGTCTAAAGGTCCATGAAAGGAGTTTCATCTGGAACAGCCATTTCGGTTACTAAGTACCAACCGGGCGAAAGATCGCGAAAGTTAAACACAGGGTTCGCGAAAGTAATTTGTTTTTTCGCGAAAGTTCATGTAACCATGTATGTTATTTGTAGGTAAAGGGACCCTTATTATTTGTTTGCTTACTGTGATCTTTTCAGACCACCAGCTCAGAAGGAAATCAGAGTCTTCCTTTAACTACTATATATACCCATGTACCCGAACTTCTTCTGAATATATGTAAGATCATACTTCGCGAAAGTTCGCAAAAGTTAAACATGGGGTTCGCGAAAGTAATTTGTTTTTTCGCGAAAGTTCATGTAACCATGTATGTTATTTGTAGGTAAAGGGACCCTTATTATTTGCTTGCTTACTGTGATCTTTTCAGACCACCAGCTCAGAAGGAAATCAGAGTCTTCCTTTAACTACTATATATACCCTTGTACCCGAACTTCTTCTGAATATATGTAAGATCATACTTCGCGAAAGTTCGCAAAAGTTAAACATGGGGTTCGCGAAAGTATGATTTTTTTTTCTTCGCGAAGAGGCACTTTCCAGATGAAAGGAATTTAGATCAACCACCATATGCTTTCATTTTTACGCGCAGAATGTGGATGCACATGGATGCATGTGGATGCACATGAGCGCACATGGATGCATGTCGTATGTATGCAATTCATGCTACTCTCAGATCTAATTTTTTTAAAGAAATTAGGCTAGGGCAGCCACCAGTTGGTGAAAGTTCAGCTTTTTGGGTTCTCCAACATGCATCACAGATTCAAGACTTCCCCCGCAGGGGTTGCGACAATGGTGGCTCTGAAGTCCCGCCGTGTTGTGAGAGGCGTCGGCGATGGACCGCAGACCTTACGTTTGGGCATCCAATTCTCGGGAATACCCTTGGTGGTCGCGAGCCAATCGACCCGGCGTCCCAGCCGGACCGATGATGGCGGATGGGCTCGAGTCATGGGTTCCAGCCCCTCAACGGTGGATGTGGCCATTGATGAAGATAAGAGCTGCGACAAGGAGAGGGGACATGGGACAGAACAGGTGAGCGTGGTAGCCTTTGATCGTGCTGGAACTTTTTGAATTTTCTCCGGACGGTTTTCTCCGGACGGGTTCAGAAGAAGCCATGAAGCTCAATGCGACCTCTTTGTCACTTTCTGACCAGTTGTTGTTCCATGACATTGTGTTTGCGACAAGTTGTGTCATTGGTCTTTTTGAGTCCTTTGATCCCTTTTGGGTTGGGTCGGGTCGGGTCCATACCATCCACAACAAGCCTCCCCCTTCCGCATGCTTCGAAGTCTTCATTCTGATCACGTGTTTTGCCTTGGCCTGTGAAGTTTTCATGCGGCGACGTCAGAATGACGTCCATGCCTTTTGACAATTTGTTGATGCTGCTTCCAGGCTTTCACACTTTGACCTGACATGACATGAGAAAAGTCATGAAAAGTCCAGATCGCTTCAGCAAAATGACAGAGCACAGCCAGCTGAAGTTGCCTATGCTAGCTTTGAAGAACTCACATCACATGCAAGAGGAACCTGTAGCCATGCTGGTCAAAATCAACAGGATGCTGCAACTCTTGATGCGGAGAAACATTGAACAACTAAAGGCGCGGGTTGATCAAGGGGGAGGACTGATGAATTCTTAGATAGCAAAAAATTGCCCAATCCCATCACAGGATGTTTGGAAAAGCATGATCGCAGCCTGGGAGCACATGTGAGCACACTTTGACAACTTAGGACAAAACAGTCCTTGGCAGAACATGATCGTGTATAGTGGTCAGCTGCACGAAGCATCAAAGCATCACAAGGCATCACAAGGCATTGAGGACTTAAAGTACATGAGGACTATCAACTAGAAGACGCCAGGTATATTACTATATATAATGTATGTATATGTATGTTTCTGTGTAGTTATATGTCTTCAACGTATTCTCAGAATTATCAAGCTTGAAGTGGTCATTGGAGAAGGTTCAGTTGGTATCATTTAAGTAGTATTCATCAGAGATAAGGGTCATCATCCTTCCAGGGTTTGGAAACATAAGACATTACAAGCAAAACAAACATACTAAAACCATCTAAACCATTACCGTTTGGTGTGCAAGTATTTTTCCTGTAGGTGGTCACACCTAAAAGAAAAGCGGCTTTAAGGTTAGTCTCAACATAGGAAAAAATGCAAGAATTACAAGGAAGTTGCGGATTCTATTGAAAAAATGCTCAGGATTCTATGGACCCACAATTTGAGTACTTTCCCAGGGAACCTCCAATTTACACCGGTGGAACCGACTTTTGTAGGTGATGGTGGACCTACAGGAGAACATGATGACATGGTGAAAACATAATGTCACACAGGAAAACAGAGGGCCTAGAGAGCTACTGTTGTTCAATTGTTCCCCACGTGTCAGGTGAAGGTTGTTCGATTTTATGTCAGCTGTCTTCCTCCGCCTCCTCCTCCTCCTCCTCATCCGCCTGCGCATCGTTCTCAACCGCCAGCTCCGGATGGCAGTGTTCCCCGCCGGACCTCAACCGCAAGTTCCGCTTGGCAGTGTTCCGCACCGGACCTCAACCGCGAGTTCTGGCTGGCAGTGTTCCCCGCCGGACCACACAATCACAAGCACAACCACAAACACAATCACAAACACAACCACAAACACGAAGCCACAATCACAACCACAAAGACACATTCATCTACAGCACACAACCATGGCACGCAACCACAACGCACAACCACAGCACACAACCACAATTACAGCGCACAACCCGAGGACCCACAAGCAAAGTCGAGAACCACAAAACTCACGACCATGGCAACATGCTCCTCGCCATGGCATGAAGACAAATGATTGAAATGTCATGGTGGGGATCACTCGAAAAAGTAATTTTTCGTGATCTCCGACACTGAAGAGCTGTAGTCTTCTGGTATCACATGTGAAAACATTCGCTGCTTACGAACGCACAATATTACAGTAGGACACCGCAACGAACACTCTTGCGAACGTGATCTTGAAGTGCCAAGCATCGGTCTTATTGGTCGACTTGGAATGTGTAGGGGGGGCAGAGGTTGGTGATGCAAGTGATGCAGATTAAGGCCGTTTTAAGACTTGTTAAGGTCTTATTGGATAAGGCCTTAATAAGGGCAAAGCACTCCTATTTAATTACAGGGTTTTGGACATCTCCAGTCCCAAAACACTGCTATTACAAGGCTTTGAACATCTTCAACGCCAAGCCATCGCTATTCACAGGGCTTTGGACATCTCCAGCGCCAAAACACTGCTATTTACAGGGTTTTTGCCAAAACTCCGACGCTGCTATTTACGGAGCTTTGAACATCCCCAGTGCCAAACCATGGCTATTTATATACAGGGTTTGGACATCTTGAGTCCAAACCATCGCTATTTACAGGGCTTTGGACATCTCCAGGGCCAAACCATCCCATTGCTATCCAGACCTTAAATGACAAGCTCAACAGGTCCCCTTTCCCACAGCCCTCCCGTGACCCCGTGATTTTGCATTCACTGTACCCTGCAGACACATCGTGTTTGTTTGTGTGGTGTCAAACCTTGAAGCAGGTCCAGCAACATCTAAGAGCATCCTTTCACATGTTTTTAAACTTGCCTTTGGCAAATGGCAAACATTTTGACTTGCTTGCGATTCCCGGCGGTTGTCTAGCGATGTTGAGCGTCTTAACTGCCGCTCAAAGCTGCGTGACAACAAACTTGTTCACTAACGCATCAAAGTTCTACATCCTGACTGTGGTATGTCTCATCAGTACTCTGTGCTCGTATACATGTATATACAGATATCATATATTTATCACGAACGCCAGCCGATATAGCAAGGCTTGAGGTTGCTGGAGCGAACGAAGTGAGTAAAGGGGGTGTGGGGGGGGTGGTCGCAATTTCGGAGAGGTGGGCCCAGAGCCTGGTGGTGGGCCACTTGGTAGTGAACAATGAGTGGTTTGAGGGGTGTTGTGATGCCGGTGATGTATTTGACGGCGAAGAGTGCATTGCATCATCAGCATCACGAGGGGCTCAGGAGGCCATGGAAAGAGAACAGGTTGTAGTTGCGGCTAAGCTTAGCGTTGTTGCCGGGCTGAAGAGGGCACTCCCTATGCGGCGGGAGTTCACGAGGCTTGTTGAGGGCAGGGGAGAGAAGAGATTGCAGCGGCAAGCGTTGGAGGCGGAAGATGGCGGAAGGCTTAGCAAGGTTTAGTTGCTGGACTGAAAAGGGGACCCCATATGGGCTGTATGTGCCATCTGTTGAGGACCTACGAGAGAATTGGACTGAAAAGGGGCAGTTCACACGTAGATTGGGGGGTTGTTGGGGGCAGGAGAGAGAAGAGATTGCAGCGTGCAAGCGTTGGAGCATCAAGACGCAAAATTGGACCCGTCCCAAACCTCTGTATTCTACTCTCTCTTTCCATTCTTTCTCGAGTGACGGCCATATCCGCTTCACCACTTGCGGATTTTTACCGAAGGTCGCATCGCCACCTTTCTTGTTTGTCCATAGAACCCCTTGCTGCCATACCACTTGGGCATCCTGCTACCGCCGCTATCAATTGGATGGTAGCGGAGCCCTCCGGGGCTTGAGAAAAAGGAGAACAGTGATGGCGGACCATGTGACAAAGTCCAAGGATGGCATCCCCCAGTGGACAGGTGACTCACACACCTTCCAAGAATATGAAGAACTAGCGCCCCAATGGGAGCAGTCCATGCCGTACCAGAAACGGTACCTCTGCGGCCCAAAGCTCCTGGGGGAGCTGAGTGGCACAGCCCGGAAGTTCGTCGTGGGCAAGCGCCCCGACTGGGTGTCCTATGATGGTGGAGTCAAGTACCTGATGAGCTACCTTCGGAAGAGCCTTGGTCGACCACAGATCCCTGAGCTCTCCGACTACCTGACCCGCTACTTCAGGCAATCCAAGCGACACCGCTTTGAGAGCATGAATGACTACATAGTGCGGAAAACAGAACTGTACTCCCGTGCTCGACAAGCCTTGACGAGGGTACAATACTACCACATGGACACCAAGAAGGTGAACCTCGGTGGAAGTCAAAGGCAATCATATTGGGATGATTGGTGGGGATACGACTTCTCCCGGGGCTGGACCAGTGCGCAATGGGGGAACCAGACTTGGGAAGACCGCAGAAGTGCAGCCGGAAGCCAACAACAAAGTACCAGCCACCGTGAAGACCAAGAAGGCTGGGAAACGGCTTCTGAAGCAGCAGAAGCTGAAGGCAGGGATGACCCAGAACGTGTTCAAAGGTGGGGCTATCAGTCCAACCATGGCAGCCACCGCAGTTCATCGCAGTGGCACTCCTATGATGAAGACGAGACCTGGACCACCGCCGCTGAAGGAGAACTACTACCAGATTTTCTACAAGGCTGGTATCTACTGGCCGACTCAGGACTAGATAGCCAAGAAAAGAATATGATCCAGACAGCAGTGAATGGGAACTTTGGACAAGAGCGCATCGCACAAGAGTTGCGAGCTCAGTGGCCTGAGGAAGACCTCACAAGAAGAGACCAGCAGCAGAAACAATCCAGTTTCTGGAACGATGACATCGAGGAAGACGACAACCCCGGCAACAGCCTCAACACCACACGTGCCGCCCTGATGAGCGAGGGCATGAACTCTGAGGGGCTTGCTCTGATTCTGGACGCTTCCGAGCAGGAAGAAGAAGCTCCGAGAAGCCAGAGCGAAGCAACACCAGGTCAAGATGAATAGACAATACTACAAGACCACCACTTATGAGACTCCTACCAAAAGCAGCAATGGCATCAAGTGCTTCCGATGCGGAGGACCACGCAAGATAGCGGCGTGTCCTGAAAAGCAGCCGCCTGCGAAAAAGGAACAGAACCATTGTGCAGAAGAAGCAGCACCATTTGTGTGCTTCACTGAGGAGGCCTACGTTGCTCGCTCAGCGGAGTCATCCTCCGCCAAAACCACAGAGGAAGCCATCCGACTTGGCTATGGCATCGTGGATGGTGGTGCCACGAAAACCTTGGGCTCCGTCCACGCTCTCGAAGCCCTGGTGAGTGAGAATGAAAAGAAACACCAAGATGGTCGAGTCCTGGAAGTTGACGTA